TATATATATACACTACTTTGTAAAATAAATGACTACTTGTACTACTGTTCCTACTATGCGTTTTTTCACTAACCGCGGGGCTTCAGGGTACGGACCCCCATGATAAACGAGGGACTACTGTGTTGAATATTGGTAAGAACTTGTTGCTGTTGTCCATTGTTGTCATCACTCTTTGTTGAAATCAGGTCTCTCTTGTAAATGAGTCCTCGAGGCTCAATGGGATTTACCTGTAGAAATAAAGGTTGAATGAAAAAAGACTCAAAGACTGAACAAAAAGTCCACCAAAAACAATAATTTAGATATTGGAGATCTTTGTGTGAGTTTGCTCACTGTGGCGTCCCCTAACCATACCATACCACTTTATTTATAAAGCACTTAAAACAGCGACAAGACCAACTAAAGTGCTGTACAGACAGAACAACAGGTAACACACAAAGCAAAATACAAAATGAGGTCAATTAAAAATATGGAAATAAAAACGATGCAGATAATGACGACAAACCAGTGTGGAGCATACAGGATCAAAACACAGATCATCTGGTGTTGAAAGCTGCTGAATAGTAGTGAGTTTTTAAACGGGACTTGAAAACCGAGAGGGAGGGGGTCTGTCTGACAAGCAGAGGTAACTCGTTCCAAAGTCTTGGTCCTGCTACAGAGAAGGCCCTGTCACCTCTGCGCTTAAGACGAGTTCCTGGAACTGTGAGGAGCAACTGGTCCGCTGACCTCAGGGAACGTGGTGGGACATACGGTTGTAGCAAATCAGAGAGATGGGGGGGACACTGTTCAGTGATTTGTAGACATACAGGAGTATTTTGAACTGGATTTGAAGGTGAACTGGTAACCAGTGCAGTGAGGCCAAAACTGGTGTAATGTGCTCTCTTTTGCCTGTACTGGTTAAAAATGGGGCTGCTGCATTCTGGACCAGTTGTAGTTGTGCAATGGAGGTCTGACTGATACCAAACAGGAGTGAATTGCAGTAATCAAGCCTAGATGTAATGAATGCATGTATTACTGTCTCCAGGTTCTTTTTGGACAATATGCGCTTCAGTTTAGACAGCCGCCTCAGTTGGAAGAAACGTGATTTAACAATCAGGTTTACATGATTGTTAAGTTTCAGGGAAGGGTCCATTATCACGCCCAGATTAGTGACTCTTTGTTTTTCTGACAGGGTTAGAGCGGAGAGGTCGATGCAGTGGTTTGTGATCGTGTCGTTTGGAGGGAACAACATGACTTCAGACTTCTTTTCATTGAAACTTAAGAAGTTTAAAGCCATCCAGTCCCTGATGTCAGCCAGGTAGTCGAGCAGAGGTTGAATAGAGCATGAACCATTGTGTCTTAGGGGGAAGTAAATTTGACATTCGTCGGTTGCAGTAAGTGGTTTTGGTACAGACCAGTAAGTGTTAGGGAGCAGCCAAAAGTGGGAAAAAAAGAGTTTGAAGATGACATCATGAAGAGTCTAATAGATTCATCCTGGTTCCCTTTACTTGAATACATATATAAAAAATATACTTATTATTTGGTGTTAAAAATAAATAATGTTCTAATAAGTATGAACACTGACAAAACATTTGGGCAAAATATTTTCCTATTTTATCCACAAACTAAAAATTGCAGTGATGTTCAAAATATTATATTATTTTCTAATGTTTCTTATTAATGTTATTGAGGTGTTTCAATTATTTAATTATCCTGTAAAAGAAAACAGACAAATTAAATATTCAACATAACTGACGTAATTTAAATGCATGATTTTCCATAAAAGGGAAAACTATTTCATTTTAATATTTTTTTTAATTTTTTTGGTGTGTTTCTTCTATTGTGATAAAATGTAGAGTTTCTGTCAGCACTTACTACACAGAACAGCTACAAATGTGACAACATTTTAGTCATAACTTGAAGGTGATTTAAAAATAAACATCATAAATCATATACCTTGTTGTGTGCACATGTCGGCACGAGGAGAAGCTGTGAAATCTCAACGTGGCAGTCATGCAAAATGTTAAATTACTGAATATAAATTCATACGCTGCTGACTTATTAATAATTACATTTAGCATGATGAGATTTTTTGTTTGTTTGTTTTTGAGCAAGACGCAGCAGAAGATCTGACTGATTCTGAAAATTCTTCACAGAATTTTGGTTTTGTAGAGCATAGGATGGAAGTTTAACATTCCAACATGGCAAACAACACCATGCAGCTTATTAATGTACCTCATGTTTGCACAACTGACTTGAGCACCATGATGAATACTGATTAGTACTTTGTTTAGTTTTTCTGTTCTTCTTCTAAAGGAGGGCACACAGAGTTGTAGCTACATGAGCTTCTCCCCTAAATTTGACGTTCTCGCTGCTGTGCAGCTAAGGAGGAGGTTTAAAGGGCAGGACAACTGAATTTTAATGAGCAGTATGGGACAGCCAAATCAATATCCAGCAGAGCAATAAAAGGATGCTTTCCATCTTGCTAAATTGCATTTCCTTCCACTTTTGTTCCTCTGTCCTTTGATTGCACACAAAATGAAGAATCTTTGCCAATGTTGCAAATGTTACAGTTTGTTAAATATACCTCAGAATGCAGATTTGTTGGTATTGGTTGCCGGGAGTATTTCCAGGAGGCACATATCTGGTTGGTCAGTGCTGTGCTCTCAAAATTCTCGGGATGTAAGCCCACGTTGCCCCAAGAAAGGCTGCAACAGCATCAGTTTATCAGAGTCAGAGTCAGAGTTTCTTTATTGTCATTCGCACCTCATGTGGTACATGTGGTGGAGCGAAATTATGTACGCAGGGTCGCAGGCTCTGCATTCAGCCAAGGTTTTATCTGTTGTAAAGTAGTAACTAAAATACAATAAATTATAATATCTGCACGGAACAAACAACACTAATTACTGAAACAACAACAATAATAATACATTTTATTTGTATAGCACTTTTCTAAATACTCAGACACTTTACATGAGTTAAAAAATATATAAAATCAACAATGCATCACAACACATAAAAACACAGTAAAACATTTTAAAAGAGCAAATTAAAACATTAAAATCAAATTTAAACAGGTACGTTTTGAGTTCTTTCTTAAAAGTGGAGAGATCGAAGCAGGCACGAAGCTGTTGGGGCAGCGATGGAGAAGGCTCTGTCTCCCCAGGATCAGAGCTTGGTCCTACAGGGGAGAGACAGAAGGTTGGCATCGGAGGAGCGGAGGGAACGAGAAGGAGTGTAGTGATGGAGTAGGTGGTCAGGTATGGAGGACTTTGAATGTGATGAGGACGATCTTGAAATGGATGCGTTGAGTGACAAGAAGCAAATGGAGTTTCTGCAGGACAGGAGTGATATGTTCACGGAGCGGGTGTGGGTGAGAAGGCGGGCAGCAGAGTTTATTGCAGTTTGTTGAGAGGTTTGGATGGTGAACCGTACAAAAAGCTATTGCAGAAGTCAATTCTGGATGTGACAAAGGCATGGATTAGGATTTCAGCAGTGGAGAAAGTGAGTGATGGCGGAGTCGTGCTATGTTTTTGAGATGGAAGAATGCAGTTCGAGTTATCTGTTTGACGTGTGATTCGAATGAAAGAGTGGAGTCGAGAAGAATACCAAGATTATGAATGAGCGGTGATGGAGTGAGAGTGATGTTGTCAAAGTTGAGGCAGATATTTTGAATGGACTTGGTAACACTGTTTGGACCAATGACGAGTATGTCAGTTTTGTCAGTATTTAATTTGAGAAAATTGTGCTTCATCCAGATTTTGATGTCAGTTAAGCAATGGGTGAGGGTGGACTGGATGTTGTAGCTATGGATGTAGTAGAAATGTAAATCTGTATGTCATCAGCATAGCAGCGAAAATGGAGGCCATGACGACAGATGATATTACCAAAGAGGAGGATGTAAAGGATGAAAAGGAGAGGACTAAGCACTGACCCTTGGAGAACACCTTGAGATAGAGGAGTTATGGAGGAGGAGCAACAGTTGATGTGAATAAACTGTTGCTGGTCTATGAGGAAGGACTGAAACCAGGACCGAGCGGAGCCAGTGATGTTCAGGTTGGACTTAAGATGAGACAGGAGGATGGAATGACTGACGGTGTCAGACGCTGCAGTGAGGTCGAGGAGGATGAGGGGACTGAGCTGGCCAGAATCAGAGGAAAGGAACAGATCGTTGGTAACTTTGAGAAGAGCTGTTTCAGTGCAGTGTTTTGGACGAAAACTGGATTGGAATGGTTCAAACAAGATATTGGATTTGAGGTGGACTGTCTGAAGTTGATCAGCTATGACTCACTCTAAAAAATTAGACAGAAAGGGAAGATTGGACATAGGCCGTAAATTTATGAAGTTTTCAGGGTCATGGCCAGGTTTTTTTTAAGTATTGGGGTGATGGCTGCCAACTTGAGAGACTGTGGAACAGGTCCAGAAGTAAGTGAGGAGATGATGATTCTTGTGATCAGAAAAGAGACAATGGGGAGACAACTTTTAACGAAAGGAGAGGGAATGGGATCCAAGGAGCAGGTGGTAGTTTTAATACCAGACACAAGTTTAGTCAGTTGAGCAGAGGAGGTTGGAGTGAAGTGTGAGAGCTGCTGAAAGGAGCTGGAGGGAGGAGAATTTGGAGGAGCTGTGCGAGCAGAGACGAGATCAAGGGAACTATAAATGTTGTCGATTTTGGTCTGAAAGAAAGACTGAAAACTGTTGCATTTGGTGACGTTAAAGGATGAGGAAATGTTGTTATTGGGCTTCACTGCTTTTTTAAATACCATTTTATTTTCACTCGTTTAAAAATATTCTCAATTTGTACGCATCCTTTCTGATCGTCTATTGTTATTCACTGTTGTCATCACTTTTTGTTAAAATCAGGTCTCTCTTGTAAATGAGTGCCCGAGGCTCAATGGGATTAACCTGTAGAAATAAAGTTTGAATGAATGGGGCTTAAAAAATGTGTTGATAGTTGAGAAAAGAGATTTGGGGTTGACGGAGCCAGAGTGGATGAGATTGGAGTAGCAATTTGACCGGGCAGAGTTCAGTGCATCCTTGTATAATGTGTGTACATTTAGACAGTTAGATCAGATACAGTCTCAAGTTGATGCTTATGGGATTTCATTTTATGGCGCTCAGACGTGTACCAGAGGGCAGTGTGGGTGAAGGAGACAATTTAGGTTTTAATAAGGTCTAGCTCATCAAGACAAGAGCAGAGAGTGCTGTTGTAATAGGTGACCAGTTCTGAGGGAGGGCCAGTCAGTGGGGGAGGGGAGATTGCCAGTTTGGTGGTGACAAGAGCGGAAAGGGCAGAAGAGTTGATGCATTTGAGATTGCAGAAAATTATTTCACGTTTTGTTTTGGGTACAGGGAGGATGTTTATGTCAAATGTGATGGCAGGGTGGTCTGATATATGTAAGTTATGGCCAGAGAGGTTATGGATTGTGAGACCAGTGGAGCAGACCAAATCCAGAATATGACCTTGAGCGTGCGTGGGGAAGTTGACTTGCTGAGTGATGTTGAAACAGTTGAGAAGATCCAGGAGTTCAGTTGCAGGTTTGGAGTCGTTATCGTCATCATGCACATTAAAGCCACCAAGCAGAAGGATGGATGATGAGATGGTGTTTATCTGAGTCAGAAAATCATTGAGTTCTGAGAGAAAGGAAAGTTTAGGAGGGCGTTAGATTACAGCAGTGACCAAGGGAGAAGAACCAGACAGTTTGAAAGCAATGATTGAAAATTAGGGAGAGTTATTGGAGTTATTCTGATATCCTTTTTATAAATCACTGCTCTAACACCACCCCGCTCTGATTTCAATGTAGGTAAATCCAGGAGGTGTGGTCTGATTTAAGGAAAAGTAGTCCAAGGGTTTGTGCCAGGTTTCAGTCAGACAGAGAAAATCCAGTTTATTGTCAGTGATTCATTTAGAATGAGGCCCTTGTTAGTTAGAGAGCGGGTGTTGAGGAGAGACACTTTCAGATGACGTGAGTTCATTGTGTGACGTAAGCAATGAGAAAGAGGTCGAAGACTGATCGCTTCACATGTGGTGATAGGTAAACATACGACAGAGCCACGATGTGAAGGATGGCAGCTGCCGAGTTCACGGGGAGTTCAGGGAGAGCAACGCAGCGGCATGCTCTGTGGGGCTTGTGCCAGCACAGGGCCCAGCTCTCGAGTTGAAAACGTACCAAGAGGAGGCCGATGAGTAAAACCAGATAGCAAGGAGCTCGTAAAAATTCACAAGATGAAGGTCATAGCCAAACGAGGAGTCCGCCGGAAGGCTGAAAGTCCAGTCAAAGGTGGTGTAACCGCCTCACGGATAGCGCCCCGGCAGATGGCCGTCCTCCAAAAGTTTCCAGCTCTGCACCAAAGTTTCAGTTTTCAATATTTCTTTGTTTCAAATCTCTGTGTGAAGAGCTGATTTTTACACATCCATCCTTCTGAGCCTGGGCCTTCCATACAGCCCCAGGGTGACAGGTGGAGCAGATGTGTTGGCAGCAGTGTTTGTTCACTATAATGTTAGGGAGAAATGTGTTTAGCATGTTAAAGTGGAAAGAAAGAACACACCATACGAAAGAGAAATATTTGGTTTGTGTTTTGTGTCTTAGATATTTTCACACATCCTATTTAAAGTTAACGTACACGCTCAATGTCTCAGTTTTCTCCAATGCAAACATCTGCTGCACACAGAAACAAACATGTGAAGGTATTTTCTGAAATTCTGCTCTCTTTAAGTCTGTTCTAATTCTTGTTTTCCTACACCTGCTCTCCTGTGTTGACCCGACAGGTGAGCAATGGTCCCGAACAACCCAGAAAACAGCAGCGGTCCGACCTCAACGTTCCCATGGAAAACAACAATGTACCAGAGGTAAGATGCTGTTAAAACATTTCCCTCTGAGTTCTGCGTCTTTTGTGAGACTGTTTGTTTTTTTAAGTAAATATATTGTGTGGCGTTTGCATGTTCTTCTCGTGCTTGCGTGTGTTTTCTCCAGGTACTCCGGTTTCATCCCACAGACCAAAAACATGCATGTTAGGCTGCCTTCAAGCCCAGGCCTCCCTTGAAAAAGAGATCTGTGATCTCAGTGGGATTTGCCTGTTTAAATAAAAGTTACTAAAATAATAAAATGCATTTGTTGGTACCCTTCTGCAATAATAAAAATGCAGCTGATGTGACTGGAGCTGAAAAGCTTCAGTTTTGTCGCATCAATCACAGAAACAAAGTGAGGTATCTATGAGGAACAGCACAAGCTGTTCTAGCTGTTTTTTTGGTTTTGTTACCTTTTTCCTTTTAGCCATCCTATTTGTTAAAAAAACAAACAAAAAAATAAAAACTGTAGTATGAGTTTTTATAACTGCTTATTGTTGTTGCTGTTGTCCATTGTTGTCATCTTTCTTTGTTGAAATCAGGTCTCTCTTGTAAATGAGTCCTCGAGGCTCAATGGGATTTACCTGTATAAATAAAGGTTGATTGATATATTTCATTCTGTCTTCCAGCCAACAAAGAAAATGGCATCATTCCCCAGCTTTGTTGACGGTAAGTTAATCTGTCTATCCATCTGTTTGATGTTGAAACCACAGTATTTAAATCCTCTGGAACAACTCCATATAATGTTGGTCTTCAGTGCATCCCTGATAGGCCAAAGAAATCTCTTCCTGTGCTATTTTTCTTCTTGGCAGGTTTAATGAGATGTGAAAGCCTTAGCTGTCAGATTGCTTCATCAGATCATGAGGGTGTATTGTCCTCTGAAGTGGGAGTCCTAGAGTCTAAATCTTCATACCACGAATGCAGATTAATCTCATATCCCACTGGCAATACACCACAATAATCAAACAGCCTGTGGCCATTTCTCTGCTCAGATTCCTCCAGCCTGTTATCATCTTACCTCTGGAGCAGGAGCGTTTGAGTCTTCATCACATGACAGACCGACTGCAGTGACTGAAGTGCCTTTTTCATTTCTTCATCTTCTGGCCTACCTTATGTCTTTCAGTCCCGGGGCCTTGTGAGCCAGAAGACCTGATTGACGGCATCATCTTTGCTGCCAACTATCTGGGATCCACCCAGCTGCTGTCTGAGAGGAATCCCTCCAAGAACATCCGCATGATGCAGGCACAGGAGGCTGTCAGCAGGGTCAAGGTACTACACACGCCCATGGGAGGTTCGCTGATCAAAAAAGGAGAGAACACAATTACAGTTTGTGTCATACTTTTTTAACCTGAAGATATATTCTGATCAAAGCCAGAAACGTGTTTTATGCTTCCCAGTGACACCCCCTACAACCCTCAAACCCTTACAACCCTACAACACTTACAACACTCCAACCCTGCAACCCTACAACCCTACAACTCTACAACCCTTACAATCGTACAACCCTACAACCCTTACAATACTTACAACATTACAACCCTTACAACCCTACAACCCTACAACCCTTACAACCCTACAACCCTTCAACCCTACAACCCTACAACCCTTACAACCCTACAACCCTTACAACCCTACAACCCTCCATCCCTTACAACCCTTACAACCCTACAACCCTTACAACCCTACAACCCTTACAACCCTACAGCTTACAACCCTTTTTCTGAACCACTTTGGCCTTGGTTGTCCTCAGGCTGTTTCTGTGAGTAGCAAGTTGGCCATCTGGCCTAAAACATTTGATTATTGTACATGATGGTTGATTGTGTTGGATGGGTGTGCTCTGCACATGTTTAAAGTCTACTTCTGAGAGTCCAACAGGTGGTTGTCTTGAAACACAGCAGTGAAGGCTACTTATGGGACACATCTGGTTAGCAGGCTGCAGACTGATGAAGCCCTCTGGATGGGGGACAAAACGTTGAACTGGTCCAGATGACATGATTTAACTTTTTCTGTTGTTGGAGAAGTAGTTTGCACATGACAGTCACACAAACATCATGTCGTTCAAACAAGTACCTGAAAACATTCTGTGTTCCTGAGTGATGAACTCTGTTGATATTAGATATCTTATTTTTTAAATGAATCCATTCAATGCTAAAACTACGGTGGCCCTAAGGTGTAAATGAACCACATTTGAAAAAACAGAATTACATTTGAAAAAACAGAATTACATTAAGCCAAAGCAGACTTTTTTTTATTTTTTTTACTTTATTAACAGCATAAAACCAAACAACAGAACAATATACAGTACATCCTGATGCATGCTCAATAATCCAGGTAGAAAAATCAAAAATGTTAAGTCAGGTCCTCTGGAGGCCTCTGTGTTCAACTGTCCCCCTCTTACAATGCTGTTATTGCTAGTATCACTCAGCCTCCGTTTTTTCAAATGTTGTTCATTAGGGCCACCTTAGGGCCACCATATAAAACACTTTAAAACAGATTTTCTTTATCTGAATGCAAGCTAGGTTATGAAACAATCATGATGTTCAGGTGTGTTGTCATTCTTTTTGTTGCACTGACACTACGCACATGTATCAAAACAAAAAAGCCTGACTGAAGTTTAGCTTCAGTGTCTTTTCATTGAATGTCTTTGGCTTTACTTTGACATTTCAAAACACTGAATGAACTCTGTTTTGCCATTCGTTGCTCCATTAAGACAGAAGTTAATGTAAATTCACATCCATAATAATAATAACAATAATAATAATAATAAGTTATGTATTGTCATCATTTTATGTTCCCATACAATGGCAAAATTGGCTCTCTGCATTTGGCCCATCCACCCCTGGGTGGGGATGGGGTGTGCTGCTCAGAGACACCACGAGATGTGCAGTGACTGGTGATCGAACCTGGGACTTTTGGGTCCCAGGTCGGCTGCCCTGCCTCTACCCCATCTCGACCCCCATTTATTGCTTCTATAATGTTTACATGGACAAATTTGTTGTTCCAGTCACTTGAGGTGATCGGTGTTGTAGAGCAGCTAGAAGATGTGTGAAACTGGGCTGCAATGTATCCTGATATTTCCCCTGGTGATAATTCTACTGTTCAGTAAAATGCTTGTGATGATGATGATGTTTCAAAATATATCCACCTTATTCCTAGCCCCCATGGTGCCTTGCGTGAATTAGGGCACGACTTCCGGTGTGGACCAGAACTGGCGTTTGTTTCTGTGGAACAGTACAAGCTAACATGGTTTCTCCGAGCATTGTGGATTTAATGTAAACATGTCGGAACACCACCTGTCAGAGCTCCAACAGCACAATACACAGTCCCTCACTGCACTGCCGTTCACTTTTTGTGGCTTCACTGTATCGCAGGATTTTTAAAACCAGTTTTTTTGTTTTGTCTGTACATTCACCTCATCATCATCTTCCTCACGGTCGCCAAAATGTTTAAGAGCAGATGAAGTGTTTATAAGAGTGTGAGAAGGGTTTATAAAACCTTGAATATATATACAGGGTTCCCCTACCATTATACAAGCAGGGTGCTCCGCCCACCAAACCAAACTGCGTGTCAAATAGACCCCCCCCACACACACACACACACACACACACACACACACATCGGCACTGACGTAGTGCTAAGCGAGCTGCACACAATAGAGGCGTGCTAGCTAAAAAGCTAAAGGCATGAGCCCTCACGCTGAACCAAGGCCCCCACCCCTGCTCAAAAACTGTCTGTACATTGAGTCAGAGTCAGAGTCAGAGTTTCTTTATTGTCATTCGCACCTCATGTGGTACATGTGGTGGAGCGAAATTATGTTCACAGGGTCCCAGTTACATCCAACAATAAAATGTATAAGAAAAACAGTAATAACATCTAAGATATGAACTAAGAAAAACATAAACTAAATATACACTAAGCACTCATAACATAAAACATTGAACATCAGCACAAACATGAACATGAGTCTGTGAGCAGATGTGCACGCATGAACACATTGAATGGCCTCTCCTGCGGTGGTCTACTTTTAGAAAGTGATGGTCTGTAACAAAGACCAGCTTTTGAGATGATTTGTCCTTCATCCAAAAGACTTCCTCAATCTGAGAAGCCACCAAACAAATTCCCACAAACAGCCCTTGCCATAGTGGGAAAAAACAGTTTGCTGGTGCTAAGATGACCCCTGGGGCCCGTGCTCTCCCCCGTCAACTCTTCTTTGGCATGAATGTCTCAGAGGAGTTGATGGGGGAGAGGGTGGACCCTGGAGAGGGCAAGCCCTGAAGGCCATCTTAACACCATCCATCCATCCATCCATCCATTATCTTTACCCACTTCTTCCTTTTTGGGTCACGGGTGCCACTGGCGCCCATGTCCAGCCATCACTGTGCGAGAAGCGGGTGATGCCCTGGACAGGTCTCCAGTCCATCACAGGGACACAAAGAGACAAACGAGACAACCAACCATTCACTCTCTCTCTCACCTAGAGACAATTCAGAGTCACCAGTCAGCCTAACATGCATGTTTTTGGTCTGTGGGAGGAAACTGGAGTACCTGGAGAAAACCCACGCAGCACGGAGAGAACATGCAAACTCCACCCAGAAAGACCCCTGATCCGGGATTTGAACCAGGGACCTGCTCGCTGAGAGGCAGCAGCTCTACCACTATGACATATGCTGTTTGTGGGAATCAGTTTGTTTGGTGGCTTCTCAGATTGAGGAAGTCCTTTGGATGAAGGACAAAATGTCTCAGCACAAAAAAAAACCCATCCCTATGACCTAACTGAACATTGTTAAATTTTATACCTGGATCATTGAGCATGAACTTTGTTTTGAACAATCAGTAAAAGTTCTCTCTCTAAGGAAGCATCAGATTGTGTTGAATCTTCTCTTCATCACAGTCTCCCATCCTGGACAAGCACAAAGGAGACAGTAGAACGGAAAACACCATTTTTACAGGAAGAAACCTCCAGCAGAACCAGGCCCAGGACGAGCGGCCATCTGCTTCGACAGGCTGGGTTGAGAGGGAGAGAAACTGACAAACACAGAATGACAGGTCCAGGTGTAGTTTCTATAGGAGGACAGATAAAAACATGTTAAGACAGAAATAATTACAAACAGGTAGAATAGAGCAAGTAAAGACAGCAGCAGAGAGAGGACATGTCGTCAGTTTGTCTTCCAGTAGTCTGAGCCTATAGCAACAGAACCAACCCTAACTATAGGATTTATCAAAAAGGAAAGTCTTAAACTGGATAATGTGTCAGCCTCACGGACAGAAACTGGAAGTTGGTTCCACAAGAGAGGAGCCTGAGAACTGAAAGATCTTCCTCCCATTCTGCTGCTGGAAACTCTAGGAACCACAAGTAAACCTGCAGTCTGAGAGTGAAGTGCTCTGTTAGTAAAATATGGAACAATAAACGGGCAGCACGGTGGCACAACTGGTAGAGCTGCTGTCTCTCAGCAAGCAGGTCCCTGGTTCAAATTCCGGTCCGGGGGCCTTTCTGGTTGGAGTTTGCATGTTCTCTCCGTGCGTGCGTGGGTTTTCTCCGGGTGCTCCGGTTTCCTCCGACAGACCAAAAACATGCATGTTAGATGGACTGGTAACTTTAAATTGTTCCGAGGTGAGAGAGAGAGTGAATGGTTGTTTGTCTCGTTTGTCTCCATGTGTCCCTGTGATGGACTTGCGACCCGTCCAGGGTGTCCCCCACCCCTCGTACAGTGACTGCTGGACATGGGCACCAGCGACCCCCGTGACCCAAAATGGAAGAAGCGGGTAAAGATAATGGATGGATGGATGGATGGTTGGATGGATGGATGGATGGATGGATGGATGGATGGATGATGGATGGATGGATGGATGGATGGATGGATGGATGGATGGATGGATGAATGAATGA